ATCTTTGGGTCTACACCAAAACTGTTCCCCCAGATAGTCTAATAAATGACAAGGCAAGTGTGTTCTCATTCTTTGGAACAACCACCTGTCCATGGCCTATTAGAATCAAACACAACCTGTGCAAGCATCTTAACTGGAGTGCACACCCGAGTCCCTTACTGGCCCAGCTTTCCTCATGCCATTGCACTTCGGCTTCTACCTTGAAAAGGCTTCACAAGGCATTGAGAAGCTCTTAAATTCTGTAACTCAATAATAATATTGTTGTTGATCATCCTATGCCCAATACTGTACATGACTAGTCAACAAATGGATTTTCTCTTGACAAAAACATGAAACAGAGATATAAGTTGTTTGTAAAGAGACCCACTGCATGGTTTATTCAATAGATGCATTCAAATTACTATTATCTAAAATGTATTCCACTGAACTTAATAAGACTCCATTATATTTCTTAGTGCTATAAATTTTACAAAATGCTTTCCTATTCAGTGCTTCCTCTGATTCCCAGGATAATTTAGTGATGCTGTCATTTCCAGTTTATAGAAGAGGAAACAAGTGGTTTCTAGGTATTTCAAGAGGCTAAAGCATTTGCCCTGCAACTTGTAAGACAGAGCTAGGAAAACAACGGGAGAATCCCCAATGCTGATAGAAGGCTTTCTACCATCCCATTGTCTCATAGGCCATAGTCTGGTTTGGGTTGACCAAACATGTATTTGTAATATTGGTGGGTTACCTTTATTTAACCTATAGCTGCTTTGACTGTTAACAGCCTGGCTTCTCTAAATACACATACATTTTAAATGCTAAGTTATAGAACTGTACTGTCTAGTATGATAGCTACTAACCACTTGTGGCTATTTAAAGTTAACTTTTAATTAACTAAATTAAATGTAAAATTCAGTTCTTCAGTAGCATTAGCTGCATTTCGAGGGTTCAGTAGTCACATGTGGCTAGTGGCCAGGACAGTGCAGGTTACGGGATCTTTCCAGCATCACAGAAAGTTCTGTTGGACAGTGCTGATAAACAATGTCATCTCCGGAGAGAGAAGATATTAGAAAAAGTCAGAAAGATCTTGAGGCCGACTCAGTGCTGTCATTGTCCAATAGTAAAGGTAGTTTGAACTTAAAAAGTTTATAACAAAAGAGATAGAGAGAATGCTCTTGGCCAGATGGATCTACCCAGACAAGGGCAAGGCATATTCTTGTAGCCGTTCTGCTGTATTTAGCTATAGAACTCTATAAGGCATTAGAATAAATTGATCTACAGAGGATCTAAACCCCTGAAGAGGATCTGAAGCAGATGGAAACAGAAACAGAATAAAAAATCAATTAGTTACAAACTAAGTTTAATCACAATTCACTTAAATGATACAATTTACTCTTTGTACTTAGTAGTTGTTTTACTATTTTAGTATGACATTGTTTGTAGTATTAAAAAGGCATTAAAATACTTCTCCAGATTTTTTAGGTAAACTCACAAAGCCACATAAAACTACAAAAACAGGTAAAGAGTTTCTTTTCAGTGTTCAGGCATCCACTGAAATTGATTATATATAAATCCAGGAGTCCATAGCAATACTCAAACACAGGAAAGCAAAACAAAACAAAATGCATGTGTTACCAATGGAGGTGCCTGTTTCACTAAATCTTCACTGTGAGAATTGGTAATTAAAAAGAGAGAGAAATAAATATATTCTGCTTTCTAAAGGGAACTCTATTACAGGATAACCAAATAGCCTAGGTTGTGATGAAACTGCCCAGTTTACAGGAGGGGAAACTGCCAGCTAAAACATTTAGAAAGAACTAGACAATTAGCAAATCATCATTTTTGAAACCCCTAATGAAACAGTTTACTAAAGCCAGGGTCATTAACGGATGCAATAGGTAAAGGTTGACAAGGAAACAAATATTCACCCGCTACTTGCTGGTCCCAAGGGGGAAATAATGGACGCTATAGGCAACCAACACCACAATCCTGTGATCACCCCAGCATCACACACGACTGGTCAACCAGAGATTACGCTTCCTGATGTGATATAACGTGAACATACACCATCACCTATAAAATATTCTTGTAAAATAATGCTGACCCTGAATCTAATTAAGCCTTTACAACTAATTTTTAGTTCACCAAAAATAAACAAACAAGCAAAACAGGAATATAGTGAAAAGTTAAATGACGTCATCAAGAAATCATCAGAAAATTCTAGAAAGAGGGTGGTGGCCGTAGTCTCTCCAATAAGTAGATTTCATTAACTAAATAAAAATAAAGAGGGAGGGACTTTCTCGGTTAAGAGAGACTGAAGAAAAATAACCAAATGCAATGTGTGTTCTTGGATTAGAAGAAACATTTCAGAGTAACTGAAGAAATCTGAATGTGGGCTGGGCAATAAATGATACAAAGAAATCACTTTTTATTTTGTTGGGGATGATAATGAGACAGTGCAACTGTCAAAGAAAATGTTCCTATTTTTTTAGAGATCCATACTAAAGAACTTAAAGGTAAAATACCATCTTATTTAATATAATTTAAAATACTTTAGCCCTCAAAAGAGATGAAATAAGTATAGAAAAATGTTAAGAATTTACGGTATGGGCATATGAATGTCATTAACTTATTCTCTTCACTTTTCTGAAAGTTTGAAAATTTCATAATTTTTTAATAAAAATTTTCAAATCTCAAATTGTACAGGTATATGTCTGAGAATCTACTTCAAATGTTATGAGATATTTAAATATTGATAATATAGTTTATCATTTTCTAACTTCCAACCTTCTGTTCTCCTCCAGCAATTACATAATCAAAGAACAACTACAGCTTTTTAATAGGAAATTGTGTAAAATTAACTTTTTAAATCAAAACCAAGAGCTTTCAGGTAGAGAAAATGCAGCCCACCCAGTCAGATTCCAATCACGTCAAAAAAAGAAAAAGAAAAGAAAGAAAGAAAGAAAGAAAGAAAGAAAGAAAGAAAGAAAGAAAGAAAGAAAGAAAAATTCTAGTTTTCTCCTATTTTCTAGTCTGTTTATTGAATATTCAATAAGATATCAAAAAAGGCCAAAGCACTTGGACTCAAAGTTCACCATTTCTGCATATAACTCAATAGTCCAAATCGGGAGGCAAGTGTATTCCCATCAATTTGCGATTACTCAAGACCAGTTTTGCTTATAGTATCCAAACCACTTTCCCCAGTTTTTTTATTATTCACTTTGCTTTAGCAAAAGCCCCCAAGAACTGAAGAAAATGAGGGAAAGATTGGTTAAAATTGCCTGTTTGAGATTTTGATGAATGTCCACCATTCCCTTCACCCATGCCTAGGCATCTTACAAGTAGTACTACCAGATTAAGAGATGGTGCTTCTATGTGGATTTCAATTTGTCACTCTGCTCTTCATAATCACTGCTAGGTTAAATTTGACTCTATTTTAAGCATATATTAATATATGCTAACTATCTCCTAAAATAGACTCCGCTCAAAGTTAATAAAATGTGTTTATCAGAGAAGACCCATGGAAGGAAGAGGCTGAAGAGTCCTTATGGTAAAGTGTGCCAAGAAATAATAAAGCATAGTAATAATTTGCCTGTGCGAATCAACAACTGTAGCTTCAAAAATATCCTGACCCACAATAAATATTGAACAGGCTATGTTTCTCTCACTCCCTGGAAAAACTGGCCCCGGAGGGAGTATGAAAGCTTCCATAGTTCCCCCAGGGCTCATTCCTCTCCATCATTCCAGGGGGCAGCTTTGTCAGACGAGAGTAAAAGACCATTTGTCAGCCTCTCTCCAAACCCCTGATTCAAGCCAAGTTTCACCAATGTCAAGTGAGAGTCTGGGAGAAATACAAGTCTTGTATCTCCAGCATCATCATCTGCTGGGGTGGGTAACCACAATTCCACCACCCTACGTGCCCCTCTGCCCTGTTCCCCCAATCGATTTCAGTTATTTTTTTTTTCAAATCTCCTTCTCCCATCCCTGAAACCTTGAGAAAGGGGAATTATAGTAGGCAAACATGATACATGGACAACCCCAAAGCTTTAAAACAGACACGCACAAAATGAGAAAAAAAAAACGGAAAGTGTTGGGAAGAGGAAGGACGGAATCAAAATGCCAGCAAATTGTTTAGTTTCACTTTTTAAAATGTTCCCACTCATCTCTATAGCTGCAGAGATTTCACTTAAAGTTCTATGTGAATGGGTCTGCCTGCATTAACAAGGCTGAAGTTCCTCTTTAAGACAACATTTCCCACATAAAATTCAGAGGTCCCTGAAGTTAGGTATCCCTCCTGTCAAAGTCCTTGAGAGGCCTCTGGATTTGGAAAGGAGGAAATAGGGGTATGGGAATATACGAAAAGGAAGGAGGGAGAAGGAACAATAAGAAAAACCAAGGTCTGAGAATTCAGATTGCAAAAGGAGGCTACAGAGGTCGTGGGAGAATGGAGAGGAAATGAGGATGAAATGCAACGAGAGAATAAGCATGAAATGTTGTCAAATGCCAAAGGGCATCTTGGAGAGAAGTTGGGAATTGCTTTTTAAAAGGCATTGCAAATCTCATTTCCGTCTATTTACAGATACGTCTCAGGGGAACGGGGAGCCCAGGCTGCATAGCATCAAATTGATCCCTACTCTATTCCTACCCAAATCGCATTAATCATGAAATAATTCCACCGGGTTCATGAACCAACGATATTAAAAACCTCCACCGATTACACTCTCCAAGTATGTCAGAGATCAACACTGGTGTGTGTTCTGAGACAATACTACTGTTAAATTTGGCAGACCCAAACGTTAGGGTGGAAGGAGATCACTGCAAATAGGACGATGTCCAGGGAGCATCAGAGAGGCTGCGGAGAGCGGGAGCGGCCGGACGCTGGAGGAGAGGACCTGGGAGAGCAGCACAGCCGGAGTCGGGGCCCAGGCCAGCGGCGGCCGGGGGCGGGAGTGGGCACGGGCCGCAGGGGGACGGCAGCAGCGCGGCGGGGAGCGAGGGACGACCAGGTAACTCACCCCGTTGGCCGCGGCCATCTGCACCACGATCTCCGTGGCCGTCCTGCTGAAGTACCTGCCGTCGCTGCCCACCACCATGGTGCAGCCCTGGCGATCGCGCAGGTCGATGGACGACAGCACGCTCTGGATGAAGTTGGGCAGGTAGTTGCGCTGGCCCTCGAAAAGGCCGGTGGGCCGCCGCAGCCCCCCTCCGCCGGTGGGCCGCTGGTCCTCGTAGGGTGCCGTGGGCACGGTCAGCACCGGGATGGGGCTCCCCTCCATGGCGCTTCCTGGCCGGTCCTGCTGCGGCTCCTGGGAGCCGGAGGGAATCTGCAGCCCGTCGGGGCCCCCCACCGGCCTGGCAGCGCGCCGAACTCCGCCTAACGCCCCGGACCCCTCCCCAGCCGGCCCGCGCCCTGCGCCCTCCCGCGGCACAGACCGGCGGATCCTCCCTCTCCGAGCGGCCCTCGCTGCCCCAGCAGTTTGGCCTCTACCTTCCAACAAAGTTCTCTCCCGCCCAACTTCCTCTCCAGCCGGATCGCCCTAAGGACCTGCGGTTTCTTCCCCCAGCTGGACTCACTTTGGGGTGTCGTCCCCCAAACTCGTTCCCTGTGCCAGCTACCCCGACCCCTGGAGGCTCCTCCTCTTGTGCCTGGCCCCAGCCTGCCCCAGCAATCTGTGTCTCCGGGGCCCGGCCTCCCCTAGAAAATAACCTGGGAGTGGTGAGACCTGCGGCAGGATTTGGGATCCTCTCCCGCACCCCCAGACCCCCTTCCCTTTCCCCGGCAGCCCTGTCTCCCAGTCTCCCTGGGAGTGAGCCGTTTACACGCGCAAGTTTCTCTCTTGAACAAGGGCAAGGGAGGGAGGTGGGAGGGGGCCGAACTTTTTGCCATCAGCAACAGCCCCAGCCAAAAATAACCCTGGAAAGGCGAGCTGAGAATTGTTATCTTCTGCCAGCGCTGAAATTGGAGGCTGGGTGCTGCGTGTGTGTCTGTGTGTGTGTACACGCCCTCCGCCACTGCCATTTGTTGCAGGGAATCACAGACTGTCAGGCCCTTCAATCCAGCAGGACCCGCCCAGCCATCCACACTTCTCCCCAGGCTCTCTCAAGGCAGCCCACGGCTCAGCAGGGAAACGTTTCTTCTTGTGGTGGTCGGAAGGGCAGCAACACAGACCCACATTTCCTTATCCTTCCCACCCTCCCTAGCCCAGCTCATGCTGAGAAACAGGTTTGTCCCACAATGTATTTGCCAATACTGCTGAGTCCTTATGGGAATCGTTCACTTTTAAGAGGAAGAGGGTTAAAGCCCTTTTTAATAACCTACCAGAAATGAACAAACTCAAAATAAACAAGGACGGGGTACCAGAAACTGTATTAAGTCCTTTCCATGCATCGTCTTATTCCGCCAGGGCTAGAGATAGCCTGCCTTGTCTCCTTAAAGCTCACTTGAAATCCAAAACCAAGAAATACTCCATAGAAAATAGGAGTGCAGAGAGAATAGACTAAAAAGATAAAACGCCAAGAGCCCATTCCCCTGACTTTGTGGTTGAGGGAGACTTGGCTTAGCACCAAGAAGACGAAACCTCAACGCTTTTAAGGATCTGTGCATTTCTCTATGGTTTGGGGTTTTTTTAAATCACTGTCTAATAACATTTCATTTTGCAAGGAAGGACAGTATCATTTCCAGAAGAAGAGAGGGCAGCAAGTCCTTTACCCCAGTAAAGATGCAGCCCTCAAGCCTAGAGATGCCCAAAAGACCTCCAGGATTTCAACTCTCCACTTTCAGCACCTGCTTCTCTCTTCATACCACCATCTTTCTGTCCTACCAAAGCTCAGCTCCTTCCACAGGACTAGAGACAAGTCAGGCACATCTCAGACAAGATGTTACAGTTTTACCAGCCAAGAGGAAAGCCTCTTCCCTTGGTTCTAATCCCAAAATTTCCAAAGGCTCTGACTGGTCCAGCTCAAGGCAATGGGCCCAACGATATTACCAGGCCCCACAGTGAAAAGGGAAAAGGGTCGCTCCAAGGTAAGGAGGTGCTATTCTCCGGAGGGAGGAGAAACAGATGACCAAACCATACTGTTCACCATACTCCACACTTTCCCTGTTCAAGCCTTTTGAAAATTATTTTTTCACTTTATATCATTCATAAAGAATGTTTCACATGCTGCTGCACCTTTCTATGTATATCTTCTCTCCTCTAGCTGTAGGTGACCTTGGAATAATCCCAGAACCTCCCCTCACCTCAGAGTCCTCCCTGTGAAATGGGCATTATCATTATAATCCCTCCCGCATAAATTGTGGGGAAGACTAAAGTACTTAGTACACGGCCTGACAAATGTTAGATGTTTACATTGTTGCCATCAATGCTGCATTTATCATTATTATTAATGTATAGCAAGAACTACAGTTATAGATTTGTAGACCACCATTGTACAAAAAGAGTCTTCAGGCATAGGTGATAGCCTATAAAAGTTGATTCAATTAATCTGTGGTTTTTGACAAGGGGAACTCAAAATACATCGAGCAATTTGCTCTTGGAACATACAAAAGAAAGGTTTATAAATTAAAGAAATCTCTTCCAAGCTGCCTCTAAACTTGATCAAGTTAATTTTAATAAATTTTTCACAGTGATGGAGAAAGAAACCTAAGAAGGCACCACAGATAAGAAATGCTCTGCCTATAGTTGATTGCTGGTAAAATGAGAAGGTCAGATTAGATCAGTGCTTCTCAAAGGGTTTTCCTCAGAGCATGCGTGTCTCCCAAATGCCACACAAAGAAAGAGTTTCACGGCTAAGTAGCCTTTTAAAATCCTGCACAACTCTACACAATTCTTGGAGCTTTATGATGCACATTTTCATTTTAAACGCTCTGAGAGGTCCTGCAGAAGACATCAGTTTAACTTTTTTTAAAACTGATGCTCTCCAACCTAAACTCACACGACCAGTTTGCTTAAGAGACTCAAATTACCTTTGTGACTACAGTGGTGACACCTGCCCCCCTTCCCTCCATTTGTCCTCAGTGGGCTAGGTCAGGTATAAATAAATTTTCCTGCATCTAAAAGCTGGTCACCCCTTTGTGCTGAGCTCAGAGCTTCTTTGCAGCCTAAGTCCCAATGAAGGGCACCTCCCTTTGCCTAGAGATACCTTTCAGCCCTCTCTAGGCCTCTAGAGAAAGGCATCTCACTGAGAATTCTTGGCATGAAACAGGAGCAACTGATATATCCTCCCTTCCTCTTGGGACTTCCTTGCTGTCAAAAAAAAAAAAAAAAAAAGGTGTCAGCCAGCACCTTCATGTCGAGAATACACTAGCTGGCTCAGCTAGATCAGCATTTCCCAAAAAGAGAATTTGGGGTAAAATAAGTGTTGAAACACTTCACACTTTATCCCTCCTTTTGTAGATTCACTTTAGCATATTAAAGATTGAGGCTCTGTAGGAAAGACACCTACTTAAATTTAACCCAGAATTTACAAGTTTTATTTGACCATGGGGACCTTTTTCAACACACCTATTAACAGATGAAGGATATTAATATTCCATGAAACACTTTAGGTCTTTGGGGTCCCTTCCAAATAAATCATTCTATGGTTCCCTTTCTGACTTATGAAGCATTAAAAAAAAATAATGTCTTGTCAGGTTGCCATTAAGAAAGTTACTAGAATTTGCAAGAGAGAGCAGGTAAAATCACCTAATTAAAAAATATACCCTTGAGTGATTTTGAGACTTAAAGTGATTTACATATATATTTACGTATCATTTTATTTTAAATCCTCTGTTCTCCCATCCTCCCCCACCTCATCCCCTGGCTGGCAGGGGCGGCTGGCGCCCATATTTGGCTCACGGTAGTTATGCATTGCTGTGAGCTGGAGTCTACCTCAGTGCACACAGGGAGTGCTAAAAACACGCTCTTGACTCACTGATTCTGATGGCAGAAGAAATGCCAGAAGCATAGGACAAGAGCCAGGGAAGCAGGTGGAAAATGTCATGAGGCAATCAGTCCTCTAAGGAAACACTAGTTCCCTTTTTAATCTGCCCAAACACCTTTGGGTGCTAGGGAAAGTCAATTCTATTTCTCCCAAAATAAACCTTCCGCTAAGCCTCTGTTCACCAACAAATGAAATAGCATATAGCAATTCCAACAGAACTTGCTGCTTCGCTAATTCCTTCATTGGAAGTCCACTAAGTGTTCAAGTGATGCAAAGGTGCTTGTCACATGTGAGTCTTGTAAATATTAGTGCACTTGTCCCTGTGTTCCTACATCTTGAGCTTCAAATATTTGTTTCCCACCTTCATCAATGACTACATAAGTGGCCTTGGACAAGTTGCTTACTCTCCCTAAAGCTAGGTTTCTGCACCTGAAAAATGGACATAATGCTACCTCCCTCTTAGGGTTGATGATCATATTCGAAGAGCTAGTATGTGGCAAATTGCTCAGCACAATGCCTGGAACATAAAAAGGGTTTAATATATGCTTGCTGCAATTTATTATTATTATTGCTACTACTACTACTACAAATAATTATTTCTATTATATTTACTAAAATTACCGTTACCATCTAATTATTATGACTATAATAGTAATGGTTCTTAATCTTTGTATAAGGTAGTATTGTCTTTGAGAGTGGGAATGAACTATGTCTGATTAACCTTTTTAGAACAATGTCGAGCATGACATCATAGGCAAAATCGGGAACTAGTGTTAAGGATGAAAAGATTACTTTTACTGACCCTTAAATACTTTGTAAGTAACAGTGCAAAATGAGTCATCAGCCTAACACGTGGAAATTCCAGTGTCTCTGGAGTTTGTTTGTGGAGGTGCTGCCACAGGAGGCCTAGGAAAAGTGCAGGGCTGCTTCGCAGTGTCCCGGGGCTGCACACGGCGCTGATGGGCAAAACAAGAGCAGGTGTGGTTTCCTGACTCCTGCGTGTGCCGGCCCCAACTCTGAAAAGCATTCCATGTTAATGGACTAACTTGTAAATATTGTGTTTTTAGAAAGCAAGTGATTTCATTTTAATTCCGTTTTACCTAAAAATAATGAGACTCTGATAGCCAAGGATGAAGGTTCAATTTCCAGTTGTCCCCCGAAGTATCCAAAACCATCAGTGATAGGCAGTAACGGATTATTAAAAACTTCAGAAAGTCTTATCAACGTTCTTTATGTTATAAAAGGCAAAAAGTTTACTTTTCTAAAGGAATCTCTATACTTTTTTAATGGCTAATTTTGTTATAGGAACACAATTTAGATATGCATTAAAAGGAAATGTATTTACCATGTTTTACTTAAATTATGTTTTATTAGTCATTTTTAATCATGGCCTTCATGGAATTTTTCATTGGTGGTTATAATGTTTGGGTTTTAGGGGCAGATCTCCACTTTATGGTGAATACTTGA